TAACGCCCAAAAATATAAGGAGATATTGGAAGCAAGTTTTTTACCATCTATCGCGCAATGTGCAGCCGATGACGGTGACTTCATGTTCCAACAGGATGGTGCACCTTGCCATACTGCGAAAACTGTGAAGACGTGGTTTCAAGAACATAACATTCCTGTTCTAAAATGGACGTCTTCTAGTCCAGATTTGTCTCCAATCGAGACACTTTGGCACAACATGAAGAAGCAACTTCGAAAAAATCCAGCGCGGACAGTACCCGAATTAAAAGCTACTTTGCAAAATGTATGGAATAATATTCCACCAGAAGAGTGTGCACGACTTGTGGATACAATGCCCAGTAGAATTAAGGCGGTTATTGCTAATAAAGGCGACGTAACGCAATATTAGGTTTTGGCCGAACTATTATGACCCACCACGTGAAATACATTTTTGGTTATACTGATTTGTTTCTTTACGTAATTTAATTATAATTTTCAGTTTCAGCTACTTAAAAGTATAGTTTAGAATATAGTTGTAATAGTTTTGATTAAATTTTGCACCTTTGTTTTAAGTTTAATATTATCTTCAAAAATATAGTTTCAAATTATTACCGGCCGAACTATTATGAGCCTGGGCTCGTACGTATAAATCTACCGTATATGAAAAATGGTTGTATCGAGAATTAAAAAAAAGCATTTTGAAGCTCTAAGATTTTAGTTTTTAGATCTTTCGGTCGAACATTTTTTAGAAGCTACGGTTATCATGAAATTCAAAGAAATAGCGCGACAAAAAAGTTTTGCAAATTTTTTTATTTTTTTTCCGTGTTCACGGACTTGAAAAAATGTTTTTCAGCTGGACCAGATAGCTTGTTTATTCAGCTTCAATTTCCTCTTTTTAAATTTCGATACGACGATTATTCATCGAAATATTTGACTTTTAATCATCGATATCTCGTCGACGAATGGTCGTACAGAGAATTGAAGAGCAGTTTCGAAAACTGTAATAAATGTCCTATAACATGTTGCCGCAACTTTTCGTCTTTTACACGAATTTTAAAAAACGGGAAAAAAAGGGTAATTTATGTTTTTTTAGAAAATTGACGGCTAAATTAGAAATATTCACGAAATGACTAATGTTAAGCATGACTTTTACAGTTCGATATACCCAGAAGAACCCTGTGAAATTTCATTTTGATCTAACGAACCGTCTCTTTGTTTCAAACTTTTGAAAAAAATTAAAGGGTCGCGATTTTTGAGCTTAAACACTTCATAATCATGATTAAAATGGAAAAAACATTTTTTTTTCGAAAAATTTTCGAAATTTTGTTTCAGAAGAAAAAGGGTAGTTTTGAAGAAAAACTGTTTTTTAAGTGATTACAGACTGCACAAAAATTAATTAGAAATTTGTCTTGGATTTTGTTTTCTTCAATGTCCGGGAGGTTGTCCAAAAAAAAGTTATTTGCGGTAAAAATGTAGGAAAACGTAAAAAAAAATGTTTTTCCATTTTAATCATGATTATGAACTGTTTAAGCTCAAAAAACGTGACCCTTTAATTTTTTTCAAAAGTTTGACTGATTGAAACAAAGAGAGGGTTCGTTAGATCGAGATGAAATTTCACAGGGTTCTTCTGGGTATATCGAACTGTAAAAGTCATGCTTAACATTAGTCATTTCGTGAATATTTCTAATTTAGCCGTCAATTTTCTGAAAAAACATAAATTACCCTTTTTTAAAATTCATGTAAAAGACGATAAAAAAAAATCTGAAAAGTTGTGGCAGCATGTTATAGGAAATTTATTACAGTTTTCAAATCTGCTCTTCAATTCTCTGAACGACCATTTGTCGCCGAGATATCGATGATTGAAGACATTAAAAGTCCGATATTTCGATGAAGAATGGTCGTATCGAAATTAAAAAAAAAAGAATTTAAAGCTGAATAAACAACCTATCTAGTCCATGCAATGGCTTAGCTGAAAAAAATTTTTCCAAGTCCGTGAACTCGGAAAAAAAATTTGCAAAATTTTTTTATCGTGCTATTTCTTAGAATTGCATGATAACCGTATCTCCTAAAAATTTTCGACCGAAAGATCTAAAAACTAGAATCTTAGATCTTCAAAATGTTTTTTTTTTAATTCTCGATACGACCATTTTTCACTTAAATACAGTCTGTCAAAAATCACGGAAAAATTTCGGAAATTCTTTTGACCCTTTAATTGTTTGGTTTAGTGTATAAAAAAATGAAAGTAATGAATTTTTTTATTTCAAAATATTCGAATTGTGAATTGCTTACACCCCTTTAAAAAAATGTTTCATTCAAAATGTCACGCTCTGCCCATTACCTTTACATCATTTGAACTTTGCAGCGTGCATATATGTAAAACGTCCCGCGCGTTGTAATTTTTCCGTCTCGTTTGGAAATTTACGACCGCGCCGTAATGGGCCAGTTCGGACTGTCATGTCAGTAGGTTCGATTCTTCGGTATCTCAAACTGACAATTAACGTTACGTTACCATCCGCGTCTGATATTGATATTAAAAGTCTTCACGTATTATGCATCTGCATGCATTTCGCAACTGCGGGCCATCGAGAACGATAATTTGCATTCATTCATCATACATGCGGGCACGTAGGTTTAAAATCGTCAGTTCGTAATTGGGTGCCTACCACAACAACGCTTTTTTCAGATTTAAATTAATTAAATGCCGTTTTAGATTTAAATTCGCAAATGTACCTTTTTACGTAGGTAATATCCTCCTACGCCTTTTTTTCATATTACTTTGGGAACAGTTCTTGAAATTTTATACGTATTTCCGATACGATGATTATTCACAGTGGATATTTTTATCATAATAATTATTCATAATAATATTCAGATATCAATGTGGGAACAATACAGGGACTTTACGGAGGATGTGCAATGATCTTGAAGTGTGCAATAACCATATTAAATGAGATATTTTCGTATAATTAATATTGCGGAAGGCCTATAATATTTACATATGGTGTTCAGATGCCGTTTTAATTACTCGCGAACTTCATTGTGATACATTCTACCCCTTCGACTAGAGCAAGCAAGGCATATTAGTTATGTTTGTTACAAAGATCATAACAGCGATCATTATACAGGGTGATTCAGGAGCCAAAAAAAAAATTTGAATGTACAGGGCACTGTAACAAAAAATTGAAAGAATTTATTTTCCAAGGAAAGAAACAAATAAAATTTTAAGTATAACACCTATTTTATATCAACAAATTCAGTTGTTTTTGCCGCTATTGTACTATTAATGAATAAAATTAGTTTGTGGTTTTAATTAATAATAAACTAATTTGACATTACCTGACGTTACAACAATTGTTCAAATTTTTGTCCACCGACGTGTAAACCCAGTTTCTATGAACTAATACAAATGTCTTGCTTAACCATAACACAAATGTTATCTTCCTTCATCATAAATTAAAACGATATCCATCAACTTCCGAGTTGCTATACACGTAAACTATTTTTGACACTTGAATAACTAATGTAAACACTATCGCAAAAAAGTAAATAATAACATCGGATTTCAGTATTCAACAGTTTTTTTCTCGGAAACTACAAGGATTTTACAAAAAATAGTTTTACGATATTGACTCCATTTTTTATTACGCTTTCCCAAATTGTTTTGGATAAATTGTCTATCACCCTGTATTGAGTATTTGCAATGCCATGACATTTTTATTTAATTCTATATCATTTGAAAGTAGAAAGCCAATTCATTAGGGGCTTTTAATATTATAAACTGTAATAAATTGCATTAGTTTTTAAACTGCATTTTAATTATTATTATTATTTACACCTACACTGGGCGACGTAAATTGTGGCACCAGGAATTAGCCTGGTAAGTTGTATCAGCGCACTATTAGCATTACCGGTTGTTATATTAAAACAATTGTTAAAGAGCGACAATGGAAAATAATTTAGTAAAACAGATTGCTTTTGTATGACTTAGTAACGTGTTATTTTAAAGTCACCATATTTTATTTTATATCACGGTGGATGAAGCGTCGAATATTAAAAAAACATTAAAAAAATTACATGATACTAATTGTAGATAAAACTAATTTGTTTTAAAATAATAACTTTTTCGTTTTAAAAGTCTTATATAAAACGAAAAATAAATAAAGATACTAATCTTGTATGAAATATTTTTTAAAAATCGCCTCAAGTTTTTATAAACAATATGTTACTACTTTGTACAGCAGTTGATGAAGATATTGATCTAGTTTAGCTTAACTATACTAACTACTGTTACTACATAAAGTAGATAGGGACATACTTAGAAAAGTGTACAGGTAATATTAAAAAGTTATAAAATTCTAAAAAAAATTACGATATGTTTCTACATTTTTTTAATTCAGCTATTTCAGCAGCCAACCGGTGCTAGGCATACTATATTAATCCAAAGTAAATAAAATATATAAGATATAAAACCTTGGATTGTAACAAAAGTACAATTTTTCGCAGGTCAGTAGACCTGGCCAATTCGAGTATAATTATAACCCTTCTAGCACCCTTCTAAATACAGCGTCATAATGAATCTATTGTGATATGGAAGTGCAAGTAGGTAGACAAATCAATTTTTAATACACGAGCAGGAAAATTTTAGATATGAGAAAACTAAACAAATTATTTTACCAATTTAATATGAAGAAACAAAATCTCTTGTGGTACCGTCATGTTTTTTAAATCTTAATAACATTTCATTTTTTCACAATTACTAGGCTGTTTTTTTGTGTGAGATATCGGACGCCCGACAACCTTAAGAATGAAACACCCTGTAGAAAGGACTTGTCAGAACGCGAGATGAGCTTGAACGTTAGCTTTGCATAAAAAAATCGCTTTCGCTGAGTAATCGCGTCTGTTTTGCAAAGCGAAAAGGGTGGGGTAGCGGGGGAGGACGCACGTCCTTGCCTGTTTATGATGGAAGTATAAAGACCGCGGGATGTTTCTAGTCGATTACTCATAAATTCGAACGAATCCGTGAACCTACAGTGACCAGTGGCCAGAATTTTTTAAATTTTCGGAAATAAATATCGTTATACTTAAAAAAAGTAAGTGCATACGTAGAACATATAAAAATAACAGCGTGTGTCATGATTGTGTGCCAAAAAGGAAACATTTTTTTTTAATGTAAATTGGTGAGAAAGTGTCATTCTTTATAAAAATTGTGGTCACATTTAAATCTGCATTGAAAACAAAAAAAGTATTAAAGTTTTATAAAAAATGATATTTTCTTATAAATTCACACATAAAAAAAATTTCCTCTTTTGACGACACAATATTGAGGCACATTGTATAAAAATATAATTTTAGCCACATTGAAAAAAAAAAACAAAATGAAACATATGCATTGTATTTTTCTCATTCAAAAAAACGTTTCGTTTTCAGAAAATGCGTGTTATCTCTTCTATGATGATTCCGTTGTGCATTTCCACAATCTTATTTGCATCGACATTGGCAGCGCCTCAGTTTACAGCGCAAAGGCAATTTATTAACGAAGCACCAACTCCAGTTAAGTCCATTTAAAAGTTATAATTTTCTACAAACTGTCCTTATATCATTTTTAACGTTTTAACCAACCAAGCACGTCTCCAAAACCGAATTATTTGTAATATTCTACTCAAATACGACCATTTTTTATTAACACCTTGTTACGCCATTGCCCAAAATTTCGCACCACTCACTCAACCACCTTTTCTTTTAATTTTTCAGTATGAGTACCAATACAAAGTGGACAACCCCCCGACTAACACATTTTTCGGCAAGAACGAAGCTGGGGATGCCGCTGGAAGGGTCTCGGGGTCCTACTACGTCTATCTCCCGGACGGCAGGCTCATGACCGTCGACTACGTGGTGAACGGAGATTCTGGATTCGTTCCCAAGATAGTTCTATCGAATCAAGCGACCCCTTACCGCGGGGTCTTCCAGGGCTAGTCTCGCGCGGTGTCCTGCCAAGAAATACAACGCTTCGCTTTCCAAAAAGACCGCATTCTAAGTAACGCACATAAAAGTGTAGCCAAAAATTTATTTTTTTTATAATGAAAGTATGAATCGCAATAAACAATTTTCTTGTGTCTACATTTTCTCTATTAGACCGATCAAAATAACTCATTTAGAGGGAAAAAAAAAGAAAATTGTTACCTGGACTTTTATAAGTGGAAATGGTAAAGGGGCTTATAATATACGAGAACGACGGTTGAAAAGTTATGAAAAATTGTATCATTGGGATTTCTGGAGAAAGTTGACGTCAAACAAAAAAGTATCTAATACAAAAGTTGTAGATCACGCAAAAATCTACAACTTTTGTAGAGGTCACTTTCTAACATAACCTCAAAATATAAGAGAAAAATGCGAAAAATAGTTATTTTTCTGATTTTTTGGTTTTTATTTCTCATTTCCGCAAAAATAATTTAATTTTGACGAAACTTGGTGAAAGTATAACTTTCTCTGTCTTAAATAACCATATTTTGTTTAAATAAAAAAATCAAGAAGTTTCTGAGATATTCATTTTTTCCGGCCTGAAACACTTTTTTTTCAAGGAAAAATTCTACTTAAAAAAATCATTCTACAGAGTTCTACCGGTGATCATTTTTTTCGTTTTGACATGTACTTTTTAGTGAAATAAAAAAATTTGTAATGACAGTTCAAAAACATGCTCAAAAATGCAAAGAAAATAAGTGATTTGCAGCAATGAATTTTTCAGTAATTGTTGATAATTTGTTTAAATTAAAAAACGTTCAAAAACTGATTACACCATTCAATTCTACGGAAGAAAAATAAAAAAAAAAACTGTCATTGTTTGACCCAAAACTATTTTTGTACAGTATTGCTATAAAGATAATGAAGTCGAATAGTGAATAAATAAAATAAATAATAATTTTTTTTCCGTAGGATCGATTAGTGTACTTATTTTTTTAAAATTTTGATGAATTTATAGATATTCAGTGTGTCCAAGATGAGGATGGGTTAGCATTAGGATCTAGGAAACGGTAAGAGATACGGGGTGGCTCAGATTAGAAAATAGTTGTGTTTTTTTTATACGTAATACCTATGCTGTTTAGAAAGTTTCAAAATTCCGGGTACTTAGTTCCGGAGATATACGGAAAAAAAACGAAATTTTGCAAGTTTTTAGCTTGTTTTAGCTATAATTTAAAATTTTTCCTGAGTACGGCTCTGAACGCTTTCAAAATATCTATTGAATGAAGTCATAACAATATAAAAGTCAATACCGCACAAAATATCCAACAATTTTGTACTACTGTTAGCAATACTAATTAGAAATAATAAAATATTTCATAAATTCATATTATTTTTTTATTAGGTACAACTTTTTAAATTATGGAATAAAAAAATGTTAGATATTTTGCGCTGTATTGACTTTTATTCTCTCCTCTCTCTCTCTCTCCTCCAATAGATATAGGTATTTTGAAAGCGTTCAGAGCCGTGCTCAGGAAATTTTTTTAATGATAGCTAAAAACCTTTTTAAGCGATTACAATAGTAATATCATCTAATACAGAATTAAAAATGACTAGATTTGGATATAAAAATAGCAGCGATATATTTAAAAAAATTAATCTGATGATGGCCCCTCGAAGACGTAACGTCGAATTGCAAAAATGTTGACATCATTGTATAGAGCGAAAAAAGTGGCAATGTAAATATGCAACTTATTTAAAATTAGTTTTCAAATGAAGCCAGAAAAAAAATTAAACGATTTTGCAAAATTTCGGGTTTTCGGATTTCGCGTCAACAATAGACTTTGCAGTTAATACTTTGTATTGCTGAAATCTCAAATTATCCAGAGGTACTTAATCATTTGTGCATTTGTAATTCGACTTAGATGTTTATAGCAATACTGTACAAAAATAAAGTTTTGGGTCAAACAATGAGACACAGTTTTTTTTAATTTTTTCCGTAGAATTGAATGGTGTAATCAGATTTTGAACGTTTTTTAATTTAAACAAATTATCAACAATAACTGAATAATTCATTGTTACAAGTCACTTTTTTTTTGCATTTTTGATCATGTTTTTGAACTATTATTGCAGATTTTTTTATTTCAGTAAAAAGTACATGTCAAAACGAAAAAAAATTATCACCGGTAAGAACTCTGTAGGATGATTTTTTTAAGTAAAATTTTTCTTTGAAAAAAAGTGTTTCAGGCCGGAAAAAATGAGTATCTCAGAAACTTCTTGATTTTTTTATCTAAAAAAATTTGAGGTTATTTAAGACAGAGAAAGGTATATTTTCACTAGGTTTTGTCTAATTTAAATTATTTTTGCGGAAATGAGAAATAAAAAACGAAAAAACCTGTTTTTCGCATTTTTCTCGGAAATTTTGAGGTTATGTTAAAAAGTGACCTCTACAAAAGTTGTAGATTTTTTCATGATCTACAACTTTTGTATTAGATACTTTTTTGTTTGACGTCAACTTTCGCCAGAAATCCCAATGATACAATTTTTCATAACTTTTCAACCCCCCAAATCAACCCTCCGCCGCTCCTGCACACGCATTTTTTTTTAGGTTTATTATAAGCCCTTTTACCATTTCCACTTATAAAAGTCCAGGTAACAATTTTTTTTCTCCAAGTGTAATTTGGTTGGACTATATTTAAGGTATTAGAAGATAGTTGTAATATATAGGGTGGCTCGTTAATAGATACCTATCTAAGTGTAGAAAATGAATAGTGGTTTGTTATGTACAAATAAAAGTACATAGATGGCGCGACGAACTAAACAATAATAATAATCTCAAAATAAATTTTGATTTTCCTTTTCTAAGTTAATTTGTGCTGGTTAAAAGCGTAATAAAACTTATTTTGTCATGTGGCTGATGTGCCTGTTGCCACATTTTTTTATATAAATGAACCAAGCCAAATGAAATAATAAAAAAACAAGTTAATTAAAATGGAATCTCTATCACTCTTTGAAGTTGAACAAAATTATTTAACTTAATAATAAAAATTGACCTATAACTCGAAATTAATTTCGAAGAAGTTAAAAATGTGCATTTAAATAAAAAAAATACCACAAATATTTCGAACCCAGCAGTTTTTTCAAAACTGTACGTAACACGAAAGCTGCAGAAAGAGATAAAAGAAGCGTACGTCACTCTCACAAGCTTAAAAAAAAGTCACTCTCACAAAACTTAAAAAACTCACCTTATCCTCGTTGGTGGTGAGGATCAGCGCCGTGGCGGAGGTGTCGAACTGCGGCCTCCCCGCTCTCCCGATCATCTGGTGGATGGCGGTCTCGGTGTAGTCCCGGAAGCCGCCCGCGTCGTAGCACTTGGTGGACTTGACGACGACGAGATGTGCCGGCAGATTGACCCCCATCGCCAGCGTGCTGGTGGTCACCAGCACCGGCAGTTCGCCGTTGCGGAAGAGGTTCTCGATGGCGTGCCTGGTCTCCGGGATCATTCCTGAAAAAAAAGCCGAATAAACCATTCGAACTGGATAGCTTCTTCGCGGGACAACCTGGACACAAAAATAAAAATAAGGATAAGGATTTCCTTTCCTTACCTGCGTGATGATACCCGACGCCGTGCTTGATGGTGGCCTTCGCTTTGGTGTCGGAGATGAGGTTGGCGACGTTCGTTAGCTTCCGCGTCTGATCCTCGTCGAGGTGGATCTTCAGCGAGTGAAGCAGATGATTGGCCGCCATCTCCACGCTTTTTCTCGTGCTGCAAAATATCTGCGAGGAACATAAAAATGTACAAGGTGTATCAGAAGAGGAACCCAGAAATCTCAAAGATATCGAAATACGAGAAATTTTTTTTAAATCGAAAAAATACCCATTTAACTCACTAGAGTTGGTTTTCCCTCCGAATACTGCATTATGAGCGACGGCAACTTGTAATTCAAAGATATGTCGAACTTAAAAGGCGACGTCGTCTTGGAGTTGAAGCTGTAGCCGTAAACTACCTTCTTTAATTTCACAGGTCGCATCTCCTCAGAAAACCTACACAATAAACAACTACATGAACCGAAAATATAATAATAATACACCGTCTCCTCTGCCACATCAGTCTTTAACTCCTAGTACAAATTTGCGATTAAAAAGAAGCTTAATTCACAATTAAAAATTATTTTCGGCATTGATTTAAAAACAAAGTATTAATATTGACTTACTTGTAGTACTTTGTGTGCGAAGGTTTGCCTATCCACTGGGCGATATCCTCCACGTTAGGAACAGTGGCTGACAGCGCGATAAAACGCACTTTTTGGTTGAAAATGCCGTTCTCGTCCTCCGAATAAGCGATGGAATCCTCAACTGTCTTCATCCTACAAACCTACCAAACCAAACTTTTTTAATCTTTTAATCCAACCTAAAAACGACATTGAAAACAACACATACGATTACTTCTAAGGTTGACCCCCTGTTTTCTTCGTTCAGTAAATGAACCTCGTCGATCATGAACAATTTTACAACCTTTACGAGTTTCTCGTGATCTTTCCACTTTCTCGTTAACGAATCCCATTTTTCCGGCGTGGAGATGATTAAGTTGTGATTTGTGAGCTGCTGGAAGTCCAGGTTGTCGGAATCTCCTGTGGCTGCCACGCAATTCAAGCCGAACGGGGAAAATTTCTTGTGCCAGTCTGAGAGCCTCTCGTGGCACAACGCTTTTATAGGGCAAACTAAAAAAACGTATTAGATGTATATACAGAAATAACTTCGACAAGAAGGGTATTTACTGTAAACGATTTTTATTTTCTGGGACACGTCGATGTTCTCATACTGGATTAACAATCTGATCACGGCCAGTTCGAAAATTGCCGTTTTTCCCGAACCTGTCGGCCCAGACACGACCACAGAATTATCTGTAGTATAAAATGTTATTTTTAAGTGCATATAAACATAATTGTATCGTACCTGTATACAAAATATCGTCCAAAACTTGTGATTGTACCGCATTAAAACAGGGATATTCCATGAATACGTTGCGATAGGGTAGTGGAATTTCATCGATGTTACGTAAATTTTCCATTTTTTAAATCTTAAATTAGATACAATTTTCTAATCGTTTGAAGATCACACTTAGAAAATCACTGCTTTATAGCTTAGTGTTGGATCTGTCAACTTTTCACTTGTTTTCCACTACCTACTGTTAAACCAATAAAATAAATATTTTTTAATTGAATTTCATGTATTTTCAAATGTGTACATAAACTTGAGTTGAGAATTTCTTCTCTTAGAATAAAAGTTAATTTATTGTAAGTTTCCTACCCTACAGTAGATGTCGCACGTAGATTGAATAATGAATAAATATAAACTGATTTCCTTAGCAAAATAAAGAAAAGCCGCGAAATATTTTTGTATTACAGAAATTTGGTGCATTATCTCTTGATTAATAACACAATAGTGCTTGTAAAGCCTTGGAAACGAAGCAGCTATGATGAAAACAGAGAAAAAGGTTATCATCAGAGTAGAATCTGAGGAGCAGGTAAGTTTGTAAATAAGTGGGGTTATAACACCACTAAACAAACAAATTTTGCAGGATAATGCCAAAAATAGTAGAAGAACTATGAAAGTTATACAGCATGCCGCTACAGATAAGGAAAATTTGGTAGGAAGGCCACAAATTCTTAAAGATGCTAAAGCTTCTGTGTAAGTTGTGAAGTAAACGACATTTCTAAATAATCTAACTTCCTTTTAATTTTAGCAGATTGGAGAAACGCAGAAAGTTATTAATGCAGAGTAAAAGCACTCAGACAGGAGAATGTGTTATCACTGCCGAAGATCTCACGTCTGATGAACCTAGTACCGATTATTGGCGTAAACTTGCTGAAACGAGAGGCGAATCATTGAATAGAAGCATGCAGGAAAATGAGAAGCTGAAAGAAGACATCGAAGCTCTCCAAGAGGAGAACAAGATTTGCAAGGAGATGCTAGAAGAGTCTAAGAATCTAGTAGATGTGCTTCAGGTATGATAAAATTCAATATCGGGTCGTTTATGATAAACATATATGTGTTTCCAGGAATTGCTGGATGAAAAGGACGAAGATGACGATATTGGCGAAAAGGCCACATAAAACATACCATATTTATTTATAATTTAAGTAGTTAGCATCACGAATCTTTTTTACAAAAATGAAACTTTCAAATAGTTACGACGGAGTAGTGTTTAAAGCGTTTTTGAAATGATTCCATAAATTTTGACTGTACCTATTTTTATAAGAAGCAATAAAATTTGTTTAACAAGTATTTATATAATTATATTTTTTACACAGTTTCCATAACTTATAGCTAGAATGCCTTGAGATATCAAGATTTTCATTTGTTTAAAAGAAACATAACCTTTAATCTACCCTGTTTTTCTTGAAAAACTAAATGTAAAAGCTTCAACATATTTAAGTGATTTGAGAGAAATTACTTTATATTTATCATTTCAAATAATTGCTGTAAGGTTTCAACTAAATTATTTAAGTCAATATGAATTTCCAAACAGATGACCGTCAATCAAATATCCAAAAACGACTCAGGGGAGTTCAGTGCATTATGCCAGAAAATTATCCTGATGTAAGAAGGAATGTGTCGCTTATGCCACCGTTAATGCAGGTAAAATGTACATAATTAAAATTTACAAAATTTGAAAACATATGACTACTTAGACTCGTCCAGTAATCGGAGCAACACACTCAAACCATTTTGCGCCCCAGCCACAAGTTGCACCAAAACCTGTAAGTCACAATTTCAGATATTTGCCTTAGATTAATTGTTTTTTTTTTTTTAATTAGAAACAAAGTGCTGTGAATCAAATCGATAGGAATAGAGCTGTTTCGGAGGTTTCGAATTTCAAAGTAAGTTCAATATTTATAAGGAACTTTTCGGACATTATTTGTTCATAATTCCAGCCTAGAATGAGATCCTCAACTTCCACCACAGAGGCCGAAATGCCTCTACAGGTAGTGTTTTGACTTTATTGTGATATTAGTGGATAAATTTCTTATTCTCAATTTACCTCAAAGAAAAAATCGGGCATTAACTAAATCCAGCTTTTGATACTATATTAACGGTTTAGGACAACATGGGTGTCATACCGAGATCTACAGCGTCATCGGTGGCAGGTAGTGTCGTGGAATTTAACGATGGCAGTAGACATAATGCTGTTCCAAGGCAGAATCCTGAAAATGCCAGTAGCAGCAACTTTAATTTTAAGATTTTTGGTGTAAGTACACGTGGAAGTAAATTTTCATAAAACGACCGGAAAATTTCAAGAATCAGATATATTTGGGAACTAATTATTTTTTTATAAAATATAATCTTCTCTAACCAGCCTCTGTTGTCCACGAGCTAGGTTCCATGGGGGCAAAAAACTACTAAAAATCACTATACTACTAATAAATTCTATATATTTTTTAACTTTATAAGTAAAATTTTAATCTGAATACTGTATTCTGTTTAAAAAAGGTGATAGGCAACTATTTATTATGGTTTAATTCATCCTAGATATAATTTTTCAGAGCACTGAAAGTGAAAAAATGTTCATATTTACCGGTACAGTGGAAAGAGTCATCAAGTGGAACAAGATCTTTCGGAATCACTTTTGTTACTACGAGGTCATAGGTAAGATATTAAACTGGTGCTATACAGGGTGTTTTGAGAATTTCTAATCTCTTGGGTCATCTAAGGGAGATTGAAATAACAAGATGTATGTTTTGGGTTCTAACTTTACAGATGAGGTTCCATGATCAGTCTTTTACTATTACAATCTATCCAGAAATGGACAGTCCCCAGCACATATTTTTCAAAATTTTTACAGGTGCATGCTGTCAAACTAAAAATAGCTTTAGATTTCAGGATTTTTTCTGGATTTTAGGTCATGAAAATAAAATAGTTGACGTTTCATTGTTTCATTGTTTTAAGTAACAAAAAGAGAGTTAAAAAAGAAAAAACTTACTTATAGCCGGTCAAATTGTCGAAATTGATTCGTTTTTTTTTGCCAAAATTTAGTTCAGTAAACAAAACGTAAAAATTAGGAAAAATTCCGTAGAATTAAATGAACTACTTTACCCCAGCTGCATGTTAGGGCTTAATTTTCAAAATTGCGTTCAAAGTTCGCAAAAAACAGTTTTTTTTTCATTAAAAACATGTTTTAGAAAATAATGTCTTAGACAAGATTGTACAACTTTTTATAACAAAAATTTTGAGTCCAGCCCGATGTCAATTGATAAACAAATGTACTAATTAGTTATTGCAAAAAAAATCGCATTTTCTTAAAACTTCTATATCTTATAAAACGAAAAAGATTTTTTTAGGAAACTTTCAAAATATGTAGTATAAGTGCATTTTTGTAAAATTGCAAAATATTTGATAGTTTTTTCAAAAATTGATTTTATCTCTTGTACTTTCCTGTGCAAATTGTGCGCGTATTACAAAATAATTGGAACTATGCGAAAAATCTACCGAAACTGATTTCTTTTTCCGGGTTTAAAAATGTAGATCTTTTTCTTATCATTGAAATTTAATCAGAATGGCATTATTACGATTTGAAAGCTGACATTTTTTTACGAAAAAATGATGATGTCCTACTGTCGTAGGAAAATTTTATGTTAAAGCAACGAAACGTTAATGTTTGCATAAGTTGTTTTTTTTTTTCATAAAACTGATTTAAAATTCAGAGAAACTAATTCCAAAAAAGGCACTTCATTTATTTCGATAAAATAAACGGTTTCCGAGATAAATTGATTTTTGAGTTTTTTTTTGTAAATTGCTTCATGATTTTAATTTTTTTAACTTTGCCATTACCAAAAACCCTAGAAACCTATCATTTCTGTAGCCTAAAAAACATTTCAATCATCAAAATTACATGCTCAAATTTCAAAAACATCATCAACATAGTATCTACCAAATTATGTTTTTGTTTAAATTATTTAATATTGTAGATTTCAAAGTATTCTATAAATATATTACATGATATTGGAGACGGAGATGACTCCACAGCCATTCCAAAATTTTGTCGATAGAAATCCTTTTTTAATGGGACATACGTATTATTAAAATTTACTATTTAATAAACTTTCCTTTAAATTTAAATTATAAGATTTGACAACAATGCATACCGCAGTTCACAAGTGTGCATGTGTTTCGATTAACGCCCTCTGTTGTTTGAGGTCACACTACTTGTCTAGGGGTACGAAAATTACTAAAAAAAAATCAGGTTCACGACGAAATTTGATAGAACAATGTCAATGTTTTGTTTATCTATCCAACCATTGATTGAAACTGAATTTATAAAAAGAGTAATGTAGTAATTTAAATAGATTTCCTAGTCTTTGTTCGTAGAAGATTCTGGTCGATTCAAGACACGCTGTATGCTACTATTCCGCATCATGCATTAATTTTTTAACAGCTTCTGTGATCTCCATCCAAGAGGGATCGGTGAACACCCAGAAAATCATGCTGCTGCGGGACAGGAAAGGCCCCATCCTGCAAGTGGTTTATTACAGCACCACTCACATCGACATACAAGATTTTCATGTTGAACAGGTTTTAAGGTAAATTGTACAAAATGTCTATGTAATTGTAACTATTTGGCGCTTCCCGGATTTTATTTTCTAGTTTTGTGCACTAATCAAAATATTTCTTTGCTGAATTTGGCGCGATTTATTTCCGATTTATGCATTTTAGATGTGTGGGGAGAATGAGCGCTCCCAACATTTTGAACGCTGTCAGTATCCGAAGTGCTGAGCCAGAAGAGGTCGAAACCCTTCAAAGACATTGTTTAGCTTGCGATCAAGCTATTTCTCATTTCCTTAGCGTTTAAGTAATATTTAAAAAAAAATGTTTATTACTACATTCAAAGCTTTGTTAATAGTTTCATTGTTCATCGAAAATAAATTTTCCTGGGAATTTAAATAATTTTATTTAATTTACATCGGAAGCATTTCGAGTTATATATATTTTATGTTACGTAAATAATTTTTTTTAAACATTCGTTAACCTTGACACCGGCAATTGCGCGTTAACTGGAAATTTGCGGCTCGGAATTAGATAAACTTTTGATTCGGTCTAAGAACATGTAAACAGTACTAATTACAGACTAAAACATTGATGATAATTAATTTTTTATTATCTCGTAATATCAATACAAAAAAATGGGTAACCTATATCTAATCACATTTCAATTTTCCATGTCTAAATACAGTGATTTTAGCTTCAAAACTTTCCCTGTGAATATTAAATGTATTGCACTTTTTTACTTTTAACAGAATTTGTCTAATAATGGCATAAATCGAAATAATTGATTTAATAACAAAAAAAGCGCAATTTTAATGGGAGTACAAAATACCGAAGGAAAATGTGAGTTGGGCAAAAGTAGCAATAGATGCGTTATTAAAATTTAGGCGCTTATTTCTGGGACACCCTGTATAACAATGAACATTTTGCATAAAAACCAGGGCCGTAGCCAGGGAGGCTACCTGTCTACAGGTATTTCCTAAACTGTCCAGATGGTTTTTTCCTGTAATGTCGAATTTCGACAATTAGTCCAATCAAATTAGATTTTTACGTGCCAAAATTTGGTTCAGTAAACAGAAAAAACGTACAAATTAGGAAAAATTCCGTAGAATTGACTGAACTACTTTACCTCAGCCGAAAATGTAGTCCTTGGCAAGTAGAGAATAAGTGCATTTTTGTAAAATTGCAAAATATTTGAGTTTTTCGAAAAAAAGACATTTTCTCTAATTGTAAGAGATGTACTTTCCTGTGCAAGTCTTTCTCCCCCTCACCACGTGCATCAACGTGTTGAGCGGAGCAAACATTTTACGGGGCCCAGCAAAGTTAAGTTTACTGTAAAAAAAAGGTCAATCATTACGGACTATTTTTTATATTGAAGTAAATGTATTCAACTACGACATGTGTAAATTTCAGACCTTCATATTAATAAATGAGGTCATAGCGATTTTTTGAAAAAAAAAAAAAAATCTCGGCTCCAGTTATTCGTAGGACGTTTTTTTTCTAAATTCGTGAAAAAATGCCAGCTTTTAAATGGCAATAATGTCATTCCGATTAAATTCCAACGACAAGAAAAGATTTAAATTTTTCGATCCGAAAAAGGAAGTCAAAGTTTGGCAGATTTTTCCTATACATATTTCCAATTATTATTTTGCTACAAGCGCACAATTTGCACTGGAAAGTTCAACTCTTATAGAAAATTTTAAGCCCAAGATGTATCACGTAAGTGCACTACTTTATGATTTATTGAAACTTGAAAAAATTTATTATTTCGGAAATCTCAATTTTTGCAAAAATCATCAAATATTTTCCAGTTTTACAAAAACGCATTTATTCTCTTGTCCAAAGATTACATATTCTGAAAATTTAGTAACAAAAATATTTTTTCGATTTAAAGATGTAGAAGTTTAAAAAAAAATGCGATTTTTAGCCGTTTTTTTTTTAATAACTAATACATTTGTTTATCAATTGACATCTGGCTGGGCTCAAAATTTTTATTATAAAAAGTTCTATAAATTTTGTCTAAAACGTTTAATTTTTTTTAATGAAAAAAAAAAGTTTTTCGCGAACGTTGGACGCCATTTTGAAAATGAAGATCTAACATTGACCTGGGGTAAAGTAGTTCGTGTCTCTGTTTACTGAATGAAATTTTGGCAAGAAAACGAGGTATTTTTGACAATTTGACTGGCCTAAATACAGTAACTATTGGGAAATGAATGCAAACAATTTAGAGAGTGATCGAACATAAAAAAATATGAGACATAAATCATATTACTTCTACCCCTGTACAGGGTGATCGATTTAACTGGAGAAATGAGTTTTTCTGGGAAACGGCTGAGAAAAATAAATTATTTTAGAAACTATTGCATTTCTGACTATTTTTACTTGAAGGTAGAGTCAAAATAAAGGAATTATCATTATGACGCTAGGCGTCGCGGCGCTTCAAAAAATTTTTTTCCGGCAACGTACATTTTTTAATATGTCACGATAAAGATTCCTAAATTTTGAATATTTTTCCTATATAACTTTTTTTATGTTCCCGTTTTAAGAAGTTACGGGCAATTCTCTAATGAATTTCTCTATCTCACAATTATTATTATTGCAACGACGTAGTCAGCGATATATATCTTTTTCAATGCTCTTACTGATTCAATATATCAATAACTATGGCTCTATTTACAATAAAAAACGTGTTCACTGTAAAAAACTTTTTGAATTGCATTATATGCCACATTTAACTCTCTCGAAGCCTCGAAATAGTTTATTATAATTGCCACATTTTCAACAGTTACTGTTTTTTGTCTCACCCTGTTAACTAAAAATGATTTTTTATTCTGACGGAGAACATTTTTTAATTTGCTAAATATTTGATGATTTGGAAGATTTCTTTCGGAAATCTCAGTGGGTATAATCTTCCTGTTCGTAATGCATTTTTCTGGGCTTCTCCGAAAATTAACAGCATATCCACTTTTTCATCATGGGAAAATATTTTATTACTGCCACCTTTCAGTAATTACTACTAATGAACGATCACAACACTTTAAAAATTAATTCTATAAACTCTATAAGGATTATTAAAACCTTCAAAATTTTGACACTTCTTATTGAGAATATGTCATATGAAAACAAATATTGTTTTTTGCCTAGCTTGCTTGCATTTATTCAAAAAATAATAAAGTTTATACAGTTTTATGATGGTGTCTTATTAACAAAGTACGATTTGGGAATCGACAACAACTTTTTAAATAATGGGAACATAAAAAAATGTTATATAGGAAAAATATTCAAAATTAAGGGATATTTATCGTGACATATTAAAAAATGTATGTTGCTGGAAAAAAAAATTTTTGAAGCGCCGCGATGCCTAGCGTCGTAAAGATAATTTCTGTATTTCTGCCCTAACATCTTCATCTACTAAAAGTAAGCAAAAATGAAATAATTTCTAAAATAATTTATTTTTCTCGGCCGTTTCCCAGAAAAACTCATTTCTCCAGTTAAATCGATCACCATGTAAAGTGAAAACTCACTTTTTTATAACCGAAATACCCAAGAAATATTTTTTATTAATATTTATATCTAACCTCGTCAAAAAAGATAATATGTTTTGTTTGAGCTAAGAGAGTATTTTCTTGGTCATAAGTCGTGATGAAAAGTACTACTATCCCTAAAACTGATAACATTCAATTTTGATTAAGTTAAGACATTTATCACCATTTATCTATTACGAATACGACATTATGTTACCTACGATAATGCGATAATAATGTAGGAAAATAGGTTCTTCATAATAAACGTACATTATTCTCTGTCTGAAAATTTGAACTTTTGTGGTATAAAAAAGATTGTATCTATAAAAAAGGCACAAATTTATAACGCGCAATTCATTTTTATCAATTTTAAATTTTTACAAAACGCAGTTATAACAGATCAATTGATGATAATGACATGTTTAATTGTCTTATAATAATTTTATAACCAAACATGCTCTTTGTTTTTTAATGAAATCAAGATTACATCTTCAGACAAGATTTAGAAATGTGCCGATTCATTCGAACGCCAGAGTCGTACTGGCCAAATAGGTACATACATACAATTAAAAAATCAACTGTTCGCTATGACTTTTAGGGACGACTTTGTCAAAAACGGGATTTCTACAAAAAAAAAATGTGATCCTAATTCTGAACAGTATTTATTCAATTTAGACAGACAAATTTTGCTCGCGCGAAAATACAGATAATAACAAAATAAAACTATAAATGACATAAATAACAAAAAAAGAGAGAGAAATTTATGTGAACATTTGTTAAATCCTATTTCATGCTGTGTCTTATGTCTATTTTCTTCTACAAATTCCGGAATTCCAGTATTACTTTGCAATAAAAGTTGCGCAACATCAATTGGTTTCCATTCGCGAAGCGCGATAACCTTTTCTTTTTATACTCGGTCATGTCATAATATCAACAACTACCAGTAGTTCATGCGCACTACTACAGATGCTTACCATATCACACCTACTTTCATATCCATACCACCACATCGTCGACCTACCCATTACTTACCGCGACAGGTGTATTTGACGATCGTGCCACGAAAACTAATCGAAAGTTTATTAATTTATTTCTCTTAATTACTACTCTGCAAAACTCTTACGGTTCTCTTCTGATTATCTATGTCGATTACAACATTGTAATTGTAGATAAATATTACTAATACTCTAGAGATAGCGATTTTTCTTCAATTCGCGCTTTGCCTTGGGAAGGTCGCGATGAAAATGCCGCTGAGGAATTTAAAAAATTAAATCAGTCGCGGTTCGCAGCAGATTGCAAAAAAAAATTAACTGACCTCTAGTAGTAAATTTAAATAACAGTAGCTACACTTTATGGTTAAATAGGCATACAATAAGCGCAAATTGTCCCTGGTCAGACCGCGATAACGCGCTGGGAGAGTAGTTGTGATTTTTTTTCCTTCGTGTGGTGCTGTTAAGGATCGACAAAATGAAATTTCGGTAAGTACATATATAGTTTGTTTTCTATTTCTGCTTTTAATCTTTCCATAAATAAACAATATCTACCTAACCGACTTGAGCTTGAGCCAGCATTATTTATACATAATCACAGCCTTACAAACATGATGTAATTATTTCTTGTATAACAAATTGCAAATTGAAATTTAATAAAAATAAATACGCAACTTTGTAAAAAATCGTAAAAGGTTTATATTTTCGCGTTATTGGCAATTTCATTGAAAAAAAAAATAGAATGGATCACCCTGTACGGTAGTAAAATAGTTAAGGACTTGTCTAAAATATTTTCAAGATCTACATGCCAAATATTCGTTCAAAATGCAAAGATATGTGAAAAATTAGCAACCTTAGGTGACGAATATTTAATTTACTGGTTTCAAAACGACGACTTTACACATATATTTGTTTTTAATGCGAATGCAGACATCCGTAAAATTTGATTACAAATATTTATTACAGTTTTAAAGTCAAAAGTAGTTTAAGGCAACTGAAATTGTATTAGGTATCTAATAAAAATTATAGTGTTCATTGGAATACCTTAAATTAGTTTCACAGCCAGGATAAATGGCTATTACTATTTATTACTGATTGGAAATGGTTGTTGTTAATAGGAAACATCATAAAATATGCAGATATTGTAACAAGGAAATTGTCGAAGAAGATCTTCAGTAAGTAGTTTTCTAAAACAAAAGTTCTTAGCCGTGGGACTTTGGTTTGGTCGCTAATTTTCAAGACATTAATTAAGAAACTTATTCTATATCAGCAACAATTTGAGTCTCGTGTTCGAAAAATTACTTTAAATGCTACTAATATGTCACATCTGACAAGATAATGTCAACACAGCATTACACAGCAGTAAGAATTTTTCTATTTAGCCGCTTGCACAGGCCGCTTGCTAATGCGTTGTCATAGTAACGATTTTATTTTTTTCAATATCATTTATTTAAAGAATGGGTAAGTAAGCTACAATTTAGAAATTAGTACATTATAAAATGAAGTTTGAAAAAATATAACTATACAGTTTATTTTTAATCATTTCAAAATTAAAATTCGTTCATTATTTTCAGGTCAAACAAAGTACTTCGCAAGTTAGGAGCTGCCGTATTGATTTTAGCCATAATCCTATTGATTATTGGTCTGGTGATATATTTTACTCAAACTCAACCAACTATAAAAGGGTCAGTTGTGACGAATGGCTATGGTTGTTCCGATATCGGAATGTGAGTAATACTTAGAATGAAATTGTGAAGTATTTGTTTTTTACTTAAACGTGTTATACAGGGTGTTACAAATTAGTAGGTCAAGCAGTTAACCACAAATTCTATACCCAGTACGGCTTATTGTTGGTAAGATGATTCACGAATTAATTTCGATTCTAATTTTACTTTACAGAAATATCCCTATAAACAGAATAATGGAAAAACTTACAAATGATTTGAGAAAAATGCATAAAAAATTAATTCAGGGTTTCCAATTAATAATAACATTGACAGAACGAACGTAGATATTCAAATTAGGTTATTACGGACTCATTAACCTTAAAATGATAACATACAGGGTAATAGTTTCACATAAGTACTTCCGTAAATAAATCAAAATGATCTGTATTGAGTAAGACTACGAAAAATATACACAAGCGTATTATTAAAAGTGACAGCAAATTTATTTAATGATTGATCCAGTATTTGAAAGTCACAGGGAGGGAAGGTCCAAAATTTCCAGTTAAGTTGGGAAAAAACTGTTTTTCCCCTGAAAAATTGAAATAATACAAACGGAAAAATTTGACGTTAAAATCTAAAATATAAAGAGTTCCAGCTTTGCCATATAAATAATATATTATTATACAGTACCTAGGGTGGGTCAAAAAAATCGACTAATTTTTTTTACTTTATACTCTGAAAATAGATTGCCAAACACCTCTAGAAAATTCTCTCCAAATATGAGATCTTAATTTTAATAGGATGGTCCCCCGCTTTACAGTTTTCCATTTTTTCCTCAGTATTGGAAAAAAAAAATCATATCTCTATATCAACTGTTTTTTAAAAATATCTCTCCTCAGATACTTGTAGAAAATTGAACGCTCTACAAAAAAGGTCTCTTACAATATTTTCGTAAACCTCACCGTTTAAAAGATATTAAAGGTTGAAGTTTGATTATTCCAAGACAAATTTCTGTTTTACTTATGAATTTTATAACTCGTTAACAAAAAAACATTATGAAATGCGCAATCCATAGTTTTTTACAAAAATGGTCTCTTACGATTAGTCGATTAAATAAAGCGTTTAAAAGATATTCATCGTCAAACTTCAATGCACGCTAATTTTAACAGTTTTTGATTAGTAATTCGGAAAATTTCAATTTTGTTTATGAGTTTCAGGGAAATTTATACAAATTTGAGTTTCTATGAACAGAGAAATGTTTTAAACTATTTTTCTAGTTTTTTTTTGTAGTCATTAGCATGTTTGGTTACAACGAAAAAAAATTAGTGCATTATTTCTGACTGAATCAATGATTCATTAAATTTTGAAAAAATAACGTTTTTATTAGACATTTATTATGAAAAGTATTAATCTTAAAGAAAAAAAAATGTTCAATTTGTTATTAAAAAGTTTTTTTATTTAATTATCAAGCGAGTTATAAAATTTCAAACATTTTGGTTTTGTGCTGATTTTTTTTTAACTTTTTTGTAATTTTAACCATTGAGTTTGATAGCGAAGAATTTTTTTGACTGCATTAGGAGCTCCACTAGAAACTCAAATTTGTATAAATTTCCCTGAAACTTAAACTAAATTGAAATTTTCCGAATTATTAATCAAAAACTGTTAAAATTGGCGTGCATTGAAGTTTGACGATGAATATCTTTTAAACGCTTTATTTAATCGACTAATCATAAGAGACCATTTTTGTAGAGCAGTTAATTTCCTACAACACTATGAATTGCGCATTTCATAATGATTTTTTGTTAACGAGTTATAAAATTCATAAGTAAAACAGAAATTTGTCTTAGAATAATCAAACTTCAACCTTTAATATCTTTTAAACGGTGAAAATTGTAAGAGACCTTTTTTGTAGAGCGTTCAATTTCCTACAAGTATATGAGGAGAGATATTTTTAACGAATAGTTGATAGAGAGATATGAAATTTTTTTTCTAATACTGAGGAAAAAATGGAAAACTGTAAAGCGGAGAACCTTCCTATTAAAATTATAAGCTCATATTTGGAGAAAACGTTCTAGAGGTGTCTAGCAACCTATTTTTCAGAGTATAAAGTAAATAAAAAAATAGTCGATTTTTTTGACCCGCCCTATTATACAGGGTGCTATAACATGTACCTACCCCCCTAAGATAACTTTTTGGTAATGGGTTCTATCAAAAACGTTTCGGATAATAGTTGTAGGCAAGAAACCAAATATGTGGTGACCTTGGATTTTGCCCTGACATAAAGTTTCAAGGCCAAACCAAGGTCAACTCGATTACATTGAAAGAAATACCCTATTCTTTATGTTAGCAATCGATAGAGGGCTAAATTTCACGTCAGAATTTTTTTTCTGTATGTACTTGCAGATCTTTTAGGTCAAAATCATCTTGCTACAAAAATACTTCGCTTTGACGCTACCTGGAACAAACATATTTCTTGAAAATGTTCGTCCTTTATTGCAATTTAAATAAAGCGTACTATTTCAGGTCGATTTTCGCTAAAGGGGGTAACGCGGCGGAAGCCGCCATCGCAACCCTCTTCTGCGAGGGCGTGTCTATGCCCCAAAGCATGGGGTTGGGGGGTGGATTCCTGCTGACGATCTATACGAAGAGGACGGGCGAGGTGTGGTCGTTGGACGCCAGGGAGGTGGCACCCGGCGCCGCCACCGAAGATATGTTCAAAGGGAACTCTTCGCTTTCACAGAGAGGTGACTGAAAGTTTTGTTAATTCATAATTTTAATGACTACCCGTTCTCGAAATACCTATTTAAGAAAGTGGGACTTCCCTTACAATTTCTATGTACGCAACAACTGTGTAGGAGTATAATTATTTTTTCCAGATAGTGCGATTACAAATAAACCGCATCATGTTGCATCAACGTTGGTTTTTCAAGAGGCGGACAAGAACCGAATAGCATTGATTACGTAAATTAAATTTTTTTTAGGAGGGACGTCTGTTGGCGTGCCGGGAGAACTTCTGGGGTACTGGTACTTGTACGAAAAGTTTGGCGGTAACGTACCTTGGAAGGATCTGGTTCAACCCACGATAGATCTATGCAAGAACGGGGTGTACGTCACGAAGTTCTTGGCAGGTATCTACAAGAGCAGGAAAACCCTGCTATACGCCGATCCCGTTTTAAGGTAAATAGGAAGAGTTTCATTGCAGATATTTCTTTATTTAGGGTTTGTAGGGATATTTATATCGATCCAGAGACTAACGACACCTATGTCGAGGGACAATACGTAAAAAGACTGAGACTAGCGAAGACTTTGGAAACCATTGCTTCAGAAGGAGGATACGCGTTACACAACGGCACTATGACGGAAGGTTTTGTTAAAGACATCCAGGACCACGATGGTATCATCACCGTTGAGGACATGAACAGTTACAGGTTGGTATAAATATAACGAGCGTTCAAATAAATACGTGGTCGAAGTTGGCTCTGACACTTTGGACGTAGGGAGTAGCTTATAGCGACCAACTTAACCTCATTGTTTCTCAACGAGCTGTATAGCAGCTGTCAGTTTCAATAACGTTAATGACTATATAACTTTATTTTAAAGAATAATCGTGATAACAATAACAAACAATTAAAGGAGCTGCGGAAAGTGTCCCCCTCCTTGTTATAACAATAAATTAAAGCAGCTGCTGAAAGTGTCCCCCTCCTTGTTCCAAGCACTTTTCACACCTGTTCCTCAAAGAATTAAAGACATTTTCTAAGATGCTCGGGGTATTGTTAATTTCACGAATCTTGTCTATAAGTCGAGCCTGCAGATGGTTTAAATCAGGAATAGGCAGTTCAAAAATAGTGTTTTTAAGGTAAGGCCACAAAAAGAAATCACACGGCGTAATATCACATGACCTCGGTGGAAATTCATGTTCAGCATTGAGACTTATTAGTCGATTTTGGAAAACTTCCCTCAACATATTCATCGTCTCGCCTGCCGTATGTGCCCTTGCGCCATCTTGTTGAAAGTAAAAGTTTGTAATTTCGTTTTCTTCCAGCTGGTTAACAAAAGGAGCGATAATTTCTTCTCTATACCTTTGCGCAGTAAGAGTACCATTAAAAAAAATAGGTCCATAAATCCTCCTTCGATTGAGAGCACACCAAACTCCAATTTTTTGAGCGTGTAGAGGGCCCTCGACAAAAAAGTTATCTGGTTTTTCAGAAGACCACATTCTCATATTCTGTGAGTTTACGTAACCACTTAAATGAAACCAGGCTTCATCAGAAAAAAAGGTGATATTATGAAGTTCACCGTAGTTGTTTAAAAACCATTCACAAAATACAGCCCGTCGCGGAAAATCAACTTCATGAAGTTCTTGCTGACAAGTTAAACGATAGGAGAACAAACGCAAATCTTTTTTTAACACTGTGTGGCAGGTACCGACTGATACTCCCACCATTTGTGATAAAACACGTACAGAAGTTCTTGGCGCATTTTCCATTATTTGTTGGACATTTTCTTTTAATTCTTCAGTCCGCTTTTTAGGTCGGCCGCTTCCTTCTTTTCTTGTTACACTGCCCGTTTCACGAAAAACATTAACACAACGCTGAACTGCACTTTGAAAAATTTTGTACTCAACAACGCCGGGAAATTGATTTTGAAATTCTATGAAACATTCCTCAATAGAATACTTCCATATTCCATCAATCTTGCGTCCATTTCTAAAGTAGGACTCTATGATAAACACTTTTTGTTCTTGAGAAAACACCATTTTAAACGCTTTTTAAAACGAAAATATTCAAATTGATAGCGGCGATATAGCGCTTTGACAGATGACGTTTAAGTTCATTTGCTATACGCTACGCCCTACGTCCAAATTTTCAGAACCAACTTGACCACGATTTTATTTGAACGCTCGTTATTTAAAACAGTTTTACTGACTTATTAAATTAATCTTTCGTTAAGACCAGACTGGCAAGAACCCATCCAAGCGTCGCTGTTGAACAACCAGACTCTGTATACGGCCCCGCTACCGGGGTCTGGAATAATTTTAACGTTCATTCTGAACATTTTAAGTAACTTCATCGACGTCACCGAATCGATGTCTGTCACCACACACCAGAGGATCGTGGAGAGCTTCAAGTTTGGATACGGAAAAAGGACTCTGCTGGGGGATGCGAGGTTTCTGGATATCGACGATGTAAGAGAAACCGTATATACAGCGTGTTTGTCACAAATTGTATTACAACAATAAAATATCTAAATTCTTCTATTGTCTTCATTGCAAGTTAGTGAAATGAATCCTTGCTGCTTAGGTGGTGGCCGAACTGACGTCAAAGGAGCACGCCGAACAGATAAGGGAATCTATCTTCGACTTCCAGACTTTCCAAGATCCTGCTTACTATGGAGCGAATACCACGAACGTTGAGGATCATGGCACCGCCCATATATCGATTTTGGCACCAAATGGCGATGCAGTTTCCGTCACGAGTACCATAAACTTTCTGTAAGTATGAACCAGGCACGTGGTAATGGTTTTTTTCAAAATTAAAATGACTTTTTGTTTTTAGTTTCGGCGCCGGCTTTGCGTCAGACAGCACAGGCATAATCCTGAACGACGAAATGGACGACTTCGCCTCTCCCAATATTACCAGCGGTTTCAACATACCACCCTCTCCAGCCAATTACATCGCCCCGGGAAAACGCCCGCTGTCCTCCATGTGCCCTTCGATCATAGTGGACCAATATGGGGACGTCCAGCTGGTCACCGGAGCTGCGGGCGGAACAAAAATCACCACCACGATCGCCTTGGTAAATATTAACTCGCCCAATTAAGGTTTACGTCCAAATTTAAGCCTAAAATATTATAATTCAATATCAGTAGATGGAGGAGTATTATCAATATTCAAATTTAATCTTTTGTTTGTATTATTAAAGGTGAGAGAGTATCGATATCATTTGTGTATAGTGAAATTAATAAAGGACTTAAAACACATCCCTGTGGGACACCAAACATTACCAAACCGCATCCATAGTTAAATTTACAATAACTGCTTTGATTATTGAATGAAAGTAATGATCCAATTCGATGCTGAACAATACCTGGAGTTATTTGATACGTTATTTAACCTCATTTGTGTCTATCAGTTTAATGGCTAGATCTGGCAACACTGGAGGAATTGCTCTTAAAAATGCGAGACCAGTGGTGTTGTAACCTATTTTTTTAACCTGTTTTCATTTCTTGATATAATATACATACCTATATTACAAAACAGCGTTACTTTGCTTACAAAACAACTAAAAATAATGTTAAGTCTTAAAAATATTGTTTGTAACATTGTTTTTGAATTGGTATATCCTTTATTTTAGATAATCATAAAGCACCTGTGGTATGGAACGGACTTAAAGACTGCCGTTGATGAAAAGAGGTTCCATCATCAACTGTTTCCGATGTCGATCTCATTCGAGGGCCTCTACAAAACTGAGGTTTGTATGGCATTAAAATAATTAAAATTTTACCTGGATTTAATAATCGTTTATACACTTCGCATCAAAATCAACTTTTCGTTAAAAATTGGCCCCAAGCCCCAACTTCAAAGTTGATTTTACTCTAGGTTTATTTCTCAGTTACAGCGCTGAAGTAGATTTTTTTTTTATTGAAATTTATGTTTAATTTTAAGAAATTTTTAAACACCCTGTAGAGTAGCTAAAATAGCGAATTTATATATATTTTTTTATAATTTTGAAATAGGAGCCCATTTTTAGGGATTTTTGAAAAAGTTAAAAAAAAAATTAAAAAATAGTTGTCGTTTCGATACAGAAAAGAAAAATGGTATTTTCTAAGTAACATGTCTCTCTGCGAAAATCATTTTTTTCCAATGTGCTAGATTGTACTAGTTCTGAATATTGTGAAGTTGCAAAAACTGTATATCTTCCGGGGAAAATAAGAAAAAACCGTTCTTCTAACTTTGGCAGAAATTTTTTGACGTTCTTGAGTCTAGAATCTAGACTGTGCTAGTCGATTTGAAAATTGTGTCGTTCAGAAAAACTTTATTTATATCTTTCGCTGTTTCCTGACTGCAGAAAAATTTAGTGTGAAGACAACTCTCCATTTTTAGAGAAAGTTCAGAAAATAGAAGAAAAATTCATATACCACATGGTTTTCTGATAATACGGAAAAACCAAAAGTCTCTTGCAATGAACTTATTTTTTTTTGGATATTCTAAATTTTGTTACATTAAAAAAATTGTTGTGTTAATTTTGTGCCACATTGTGCTATTTTCAAGGAAACTGGAAGATGTAAGTTCAGAACAACTAGCAAAGTCTTAGGGCGTGTCGATTTTTTTGAATTTCTTTTTTCAAAAATGAGTAGTGTCAAAAAGTTGTGTTTCCGGCAATTATATTGGTTTGTTTGGTAGCAATCGAAAAATTTTCACATTTCATGTAAAAATTGCAGTCAACTATCTTCTCATAAGAAATTCGCCTATAATGTTAAAAATATATATACAGGGTGATTCATTAACAATGGGAAAATCGAAGGCTGAAGATGCTACACGTGAAATGGTGACTATTGGCGCAAACATGCCTTATTCGAAAGTTGATAGTTTCGGAAATACAGGGTGTTGAAAGTTAAAATTTTAAATCGTTTTTTGCAATTACTCTGAAAATATGTAGGTTAGGAACCTGAAAATTTGTGAAACTATATTTTTTTTAAGCGACGAATAAGATGCGTGTTATAATTTCAGCGTTGTTCATAGAGGGCGCCACCCACGACCAATTTTACCGAAAATTTAGTTAATAATTTTTTACCCTGTATGTCTAACATGAAACTTGATTCAAAACTTGAATGAGCGATCATTTTCCCATTAATTGTGTATTCTTGCTTGATTTCGGTATCTCGATCCGTTTTCGAGAAAAATCGATTTAACGAACATAGTGTTTTGATAATACGAGAAATTAAAAGCGAAACAAACCAAGTGTTTCTTCGTGTTATTACAACTAAAACAAATAAAATACGTAATAATGATTTAAAGTAATTGTTCGAAGAATCCACAGTTGACACTGATACACTTTACACGTTTTCTGGGAGATCTTCGAGTTTGTAACAACATATTGGGATTGCGTCTGCTTCGTTGGCAGCGATTTGTGTTCTTTGCCACAACTCTTCACGCGAGCCAATAAATTATTTGTAAACTATAACTTTCATTCGAGATCAAATAGAAAAATCAAGAGGATTGAAGTCCGGACTTCTGGGTGGCCAAGCAAAAATGCTGACATGGTCAATCCAGCGATCTGGAAAAATTGCATCTAAATATGCATGCACTGGCCGAGAAAAATGCGGTGGCGTCCATCGTGCATGAACCACATGTCTCTTCTTAAATAAAGTGGAACTTCTTCAAGCCGTGGAAGCATTTTTACTTGGCCACCCAGAAGTCCGGACTTCAATCCTCTTCATTTTTCCATTTTTTAAGAATCTATTGGTTCGTATGAAGAGTTGTGGCAAAGAATACAAATCGCTGACAACGAAGTCAAATGCAATCCCAATATGTTGTTTCAAACTCGAAGGTCTACTTTAAATAATTATTACAAATTTCATTTGTTTTATTGTTAATAATGTTGTAATAACATGAAGAAACACTTGGTTTGTTTCGCTTTTAATTTCTCGTATTATCAAAACATAGTGTTGGTTAAATCGATTTTTCTCGAAAACGGATCGAGATACTGAAATGAAACAAGAGTACATAATTAATGAAAAAATTATTGCTCTTTCAGGTTTTGAATCAAGTTTCATATTATACATACAGGGCAAAAAGTTATTCACTAAATTTTCGGTAAAATTGGTTGTAAGTGGCGCCCTCTATGAGCAAAGCTGAAATTGCAACACGCATCTTATTCGTCATTTAAAAAAATATAGTTTCACAAATTGTCAAGTTCCTAACCTACATACTTTCAGAATAATGGCAAAAAACGATTTAAAATTTTACCTTTCAACACCCTGTATTTCCGAAACTATCAACTTTCGGATAAGGCATGTTTGCGCCAATGGACACCATTTCACGTGTAGTATCTTCAGCTTTCGATTTTCCCATTGTTAATGAGTCACCCTGTATATACATTATACTATAAAATCGTCAAAAAAAAAAAAAATTGTGCTACCCGTAATTTTTTTTTAACTAGCAATGCTGTGTGTGTAGCAAGCTACCTAAAGACTTTCGACAGTAGAATAATAAATGTGCAAATCAATACCTGCTTAGACATAATATTCGAACCTTTAAAATACTTCTTCCAAAAACAAATTTTTTTCAGAAATACCAAGGTAAATGTTTATAAATAAGCAAAAACCTTTCAAATTAGGATAAAACACATCAAACGGCATATTTTTGGACCCCCTCATTTACAAAAATCGCAAAAAATATTATTTTTCTGAAAAGTACAACCAGCACAATTTAGCACGTTGGCAAAATTCTTTTTCGAAGAGGGGCTGCCGAAACACATTTTTCCTCCATTTTCCTGGAAACCACGTTTCCCAACGCCGGAATATTCGAAACAACTAGCACATTCTAGCACATTGACAAAAATATTATTTTCGCAAAATGAGGAACTTTGTAAGTTTGTTTTAATTCTTACAGCGCAATTTTTTAAAATTGTGTGTAAAAAATATATTTTCCGCCTTAGGGCATCGATATAGTGGAAGGACTAAGTGTGATAGGGCATAGGTACAACATCACCGATGATGACGGATTCGCAGCCGTAACCTCGATATCTAGGAAGAATGGAAATGCGAATCAAGTTACAGGAGCCTACGACAGGCGAAGAACTGGATCTATTTCGTATTTATATTGATAAAAAAAAATCCGTCCTTAATTTATTTCGATTGCTGTTAACGATTGTACCTATGTATTTAATAAATTATTTTACTACTTATATGCAGCTTGAATCTTAAATGCTGAATATTGCCAGCTTAGCTTCGACCCCAAAGAAATGGGTTGCAGATTGGAGACTCACGTTTTCTATGGCCAGCTCAGTCTTGGATTGCTTCTGGACTTGTTGAGAGTAGGACCAGCTCTTTTTGTCTTCGTCTGTAACTTGGTTGTACAACTTTTCTATTACACTGGTTCCATTTGAGGCTCTCAACTGAGCCTTTTTTACCGTTTATCTTTTGGCATTACCTTGCCTGGGCAGTTCTAGGCAGTCTCCTACAAGTACCTATTTTGGGTAATGAGCCTCAGAGTACCAGAGTTGACGTTCGATCACACCCAATGGCTGCTCCGCCGTTGACTCGTATAAGGAACTTCGCATAAAGATTGGACATTTAGTGTCTCTAGATTTTGACGATTCTTCTTAAAATTCTCTAGTACATTTTCCAAAAGTGGAAATTTCCCATGGAAATAGCTTATTTAAAAAATTTAAAAGGAAAATTTTATGCAAAAAAATCATTAGTTATTTTATAGTAAAAAAATGATAAACATTCACGTTAAAAAAATATTGACACAATAGCTTCTTCCAGACACCGCTGCTAAATTATTTAATCATTAAATCCTTGCAGATAACAAAACATTTTCCTATCTGTAATATTTTAATACCAAAAATCAATGATTGATTATTTCCCTACATGAACTATACTTGCCATGGTCCGTTATTACTGAAACACGAGTATTTAACAAGGTAAAAAAATATAAAACTCTTTCGCCTAGTGTGTGATTTTGGTAATAAAATTTGATTAAAATGCCCATTGTATTGTAAATTCCTCCAATAAACCGATAAACTTTATTAATATTTGCCGAGATTTTACAATTTCATAATCAAAACTCACAACTTAAATAATTTTTACAATCATATTGTTCTTTGGTACGGACAACTTATCTTTATCACATCAAATCCTTTAATTACCCTAATTTACTAAAACAATCCAGTACGTAATACGTAATGTTTTATTTAACGAATGAAACATAACTTTTTCAGTCTCTCTAATCTAACGAAGGGAAAATGAAGAGACTAAAGTATTAGTTGGTGTAGGGGCGTGAAATTTATTCAGCAAGCGGTATCTTATTTCAATTATGGCAATAACCACTATAGTCAGGTAAATAGGTAATAGTTTATCTTTAAGACGCTTTGGGAGTTGATAGTTTAGAATAGTTTAGATATATATTTTGGCTTGCCACACAATTTCAGTTATAACTTAAGTTTCAGGGAAATAAGAGGATGATAAATTCATAATGTTTCGACTTTTTAATTTATTTCAAACATGTCTATTTTGGATGTAAGATAAGCACGTCTTCAAATTTGAATAGTAGGCCAGTCAAATTGTCGAAAGTATCCCTTTTTTGCTAAAATTTAATCCAGTAAACAAAGACACGTAAAAATTAGAAAAAATTTCGTAGAATTGAATGAACTAGTTTACCTCTGCTGAATGTTAGGGCTTCATTTTCAAAATGGCGTCCAAAGTTCGCAAAAAACAGCTTTTTTCATTTAACAAAAACTAAACATTTTAGAAAAAAATGTTTTAGACAAAAGTTGTAGAACTTTTTATACCAAAAATTTTGAGACCAGCCCAGTGTTAATTGATAAACAAATGCATTAGTTATTGCAAAAAACGGTTAAAGATCGATTTTTTTTTTAATTCTATATCTTTACAATGAAAAAAGATTTTTTTAGAAACCTTTCAGAATACGTAGTCATTGGCAAGTAAAATAAGTGCATTTTTGTAAAATTGTAAAATATTTTCCAATTTTTGTGAAAATTGAGTTTTCCGAAAAAAAGACATTTTGTTCAAGTTTCAATAAATCATACAGTAATGCACTTACGTGACCCATCTTGGGCTTAAAATTTTCTCTAAGAGTACTTTTCTGTGCAAATTGGAAATATGCGAAAAATCTACTGAAACTTTGAATACTTTTTTCGAGTCGAAAAATGTAGATCTTTTTCTTATTTATCGTTGAAATTTAATCGGAATGGCATTATTACTATTTGAAAGCTGACATTCTTCCACAGAAATAGAAGTTTTTAAGAAAATGCGATTTTTAGCCGTTCTTTGCAATAACTAATACATTTGTCTATCGATTGACATCGGGTTGGGCTCAACTTTTGTGTCTTTGTTTACTGAACTAAATTTTGGCATGTAAAAACCTAATGCGATTGGACTACAGGCACTCTGACAAACCTAATTTAAATAATTTGTGAGCCTGCCATTTGGAGAATTAAGGTAAGCTGCTACAATAATAAAGAGTTATGTACTTTTTAGAAGCAAAAAAGGCCGATGGTTGTTCGCGGGCATTTTAATCCTCATTATAATAGCTGTTGCCATTGGGATAACAATTTATCTGCTCGACGGCGTAGCATTTAATGTAGAAAAAACAGCGAAAGCCTCAGTGGTGACAAATGGATATCACTGCTCTGAAATTGGGACGTAAGTATTATTTGAATTAATGTAAGTACATATGTCATATTTTCTATACATAGATCTATTGTGCGGTGTTGACTTTGATTGGACAATAATAATGCTGGTCTTAAATGTGTATTTGGTTGCATAATACACATTTTTAAAATAAATGTCTATCAGCATATTAGTATATAATACAGGGTGTCACAAGATTCCGTGTATATGGAACTACCACAAATTAGCTGTAGCTCAGAAACGACGGCCATAGAGTTCAATATTTATTTAACCAAGATATAATATACATATTTGATAATTAACGTTTTTCTCGCAGTTCGATATTCGAGAAGGGCGGCAACGCTGCGGAAGCGGCGATAGCCGCCGCCCTGTGCGAAGGGGTGGTTAATCCGCAAAGCATGGGCCTGGGGGGAGGGTTCCTCCTGACGATTTACAACAAAACCACGGGGGAGGTGTGGTCGCTCAACTCCAGGGAAGCGGCCCCTGCCGCCGCCACCACAGACATGTACCAAGGCAACGAAAGTTTGGCTCAAAGAGGTATGAAGATGTCTCAGTTTCTTTCTTTTATTTAACAAATAAATGTGGCATCGCGTTCCAGGAGGCCTTTCAGTAGCTGTGCCGTCTGAACTGATAGGGTATTGGTATCTTTACGAGAGATTTGGCGGATATCTCCCTTGGAGAGACCTAGTACAACCGACAATAGATCTCTGTTACAATGGGATATATGTTAACAGCTATCTAGCTACGATTTTACAGAATAACAAAGATGTTTTACTTAGTGATGCAGTTTTAAGGTAAATAATAATTATTATACAAGGTGAGCATTAAACTTAGACATATATTTTAACTGAGAGTACAATTCACGGTGTAAATGAATCTAGTGAGTTATTTTTCATAATTAAATACAGGGTAGGAACGGGTACAAATGTAAGTTTCCGCAAAAATTCTGTTTTTTCACTATTAAAATATAAATTATGGTGTTTAAAATAATGGGCAATACTATTTAAAGTATCGCAGTACTTGCTTTTATTTTTTAAATTATTAACGAGATATAGCATCAACTTAAGCAGTAAAATAACCCAGTATATAATTATTTTGGTTTATATGCGATGAATAAATAAAATTGGACCTGAAATAGAACCTTGTGGCATTCTAAGAATTGGATTATTTGACTGATTATTTCTTGTAACTAAAAGAGAAACATGTTGTCTCAGATTTCTCGAGAATGATGCTAACAGTAGCGTAAATTGTAGTTAACATACAAGTATGTAGGTATGTTGTAAATATTTATAGTGTTCCAATTTTTGGATACACAAGACATTCACATAACAAATGAAGCTCATTTTTGTTTGGTTTCTAAGAGAAAACGGACCTACATTTTACTTTTTTTTTCTTCCGTTCAGTGACGCCTTCATCGACCCTTCAACAAACGAACCCTACGGAGAAGGCGAATACATGAAGAGACTGAAGCTGGCGGAGACCCTAGAGGTGATAGCCGAGGAAGGGGGGTACGCTTTGCACAACGGATCTCTTACAGAAGCATTCGCCCAAGATATCAGAGACAACGGTGGCATTATAACAGCCGATGACCTGAGGAATTATAGGCGAGTAATAGCATAGCAATAGAGAAGACAAAAATAGTAATAGACCAAATAACACACCGATGAAAATAGAATGTATAAAAAACGTTTATCGCCATAGCGATTTCCGGAAGTAAACAAATACTTTATTTTACTGTAAAAACTAAAAATGAAGCATTTTACCTGATCAGAAATCGATTGTCGCTGTCACAGCCCCAATAGTAAAAGTTTTGTCGCGAATTATTTATAGAAAACGATGCAAGACATTCAATGCACGCTGCCTGAAATTCGGGAAAAGTCGTTAGAAGTTTTGTATTTGCTGTTATTTTTCTGTTTATTTTGTCATAATAAAATGTGATTATAATATCTCCATTTTTTTTATGAACAAAGAATCTCTTTACTGACTTGGTACATAAATAAGTATTATACTTTTGTCTTTGAATATGTTCTAGATGTCAAATAAACGTGATTTAGCTTGACTTGTCTTTCTTGGGATATTAACAGTTCGATTGCTGTGAACGCAAATGAAGTCATAAATTCTCAAAAGTAGACACTAATTATTATGAAACTATAACAATTCCACTTTGGCGTGACCTGGCCTGTCCCTTCTCAGGGCATAGCCCTCGATGTTTTATCGCCTAAATTTACGACCCACTTGACACAGCAACCCTTATCTTTAGTATCTATTTCTTCGAACTAGAAAGAAAGATCCGTGTATGGATAGAATGAATGTGTTTTCGAATCATGGAGTTATATAATTAGTTAATTTGTTAAGGCATATTTGTGGCATAACAGTACTTTGTGAAAAATAATTCAAATTCGACAAACACCCCTTTAATTATTAGTTATAATTTAGTAATAGGTATTTATTTAACAATTTATGTTAATACACAAAGTGTTTACGCCCTGGAAAGCGAATTTTTAAAGTTGATTGAAATTACCACATACACAATAGATACAGTGAATAATAAAATATGATTAATACAATAATTTGAAGTTAAAATATAAAATAGTACAAAAAAGTGTAAACAATAATTTGTTCAGTATCATAAAAAGCTTTTCTCAATAAAAACATTTTTATTCTTCTCTAAATTATATAATATTCATATTTCTTATGAGATGAGCATTGGTGAAACGTTAAATAGGCGGATACACCCTATACAGTTTTTGGTTTTAGTTAATCTCGAAAAAATTGTGGAGAAATTATTTGATCTAATTCGTGTATTTCGTGATCCACAAATGTATAAAGTTTTTATCTAGAACTATTCGTTAAAAAGGTACAGGGTGTTAAACTTCAAAAAATATTTTTAATTTTTTTAAATAATGTAAAAACTAGTACCCAAGTGAAATAATTTGAAATTGGGCACATGTATTTATGTAAACATTGTCCAAAATCTGAGAGCTTTTCCTAAAATTTACATGCTCCAGTGGCGGAGGTACAGGGTATCGGTGGCATATTTTTCTAAGTAAAATATACGCTAATGCTTTATGGTAGCAATAATGATATTTTCGGATTCATCTTTCAATTTTCTACAAATTACTACTCTTTTAGGTTTTTCCAAAAAAGCCTTATTTTCGAGTAAAACTTAAAAAACCAACTGAAAACACACTTTGATATTCAAATAAAATTCGATTTAAAAATACATAGTAGGCAACTTTGACATTCTGAGCAGTTAGAAGGAAGAATAAATAATGCTTTTCATCAGATTCAAGCAACAATACATTTCGAACAAATTACATTTTTGTTACTAAAAATATGTAGCGCAAATTTTGACGACATTATCCTGTAAATTTTAAACTATCGATAGTAAATCGGCTCCACTTCAATGTCTTAATATGAATTTTATGTAATTTCTTTTATGAATATGTACGACTTTTATTATTGTTAAAGAATCTTGGAAATTATTGAATCAAATAAGTTTACAAATTCATAATTTTCACGAAATAATTTTATTCCAGACCCAAATGGCAGCAGCCAGTCCACGCCATGTTCTCTGGAAACGAATCACTCTATTCGGCCCCTTTGCCAGGGTCCGGCTTGATTCTAACGTTTATTTTAAACATTCTAGACAGTTTTGTGGATCCCAGCGACTCCGACTCAGTAGCTACGTACCAAAGGATCATAGAAGCGTTCAAATTCGCCTACGGAAGTCGAACCGAACTAGGAGACCCCGATTTTCTACAAATAGACGAGGTATTTTCCCTTTCAATACATCTTGAACCTGTTCTATAATAAATTTACCAATTTTATTTGTTTTTCTTAATATTTCAATTAGGTATACCCAATTTTTGTCTACCTACAAACTTTCGGTTTCAGTTGATATCAAATCTCACGTCAAAAAGCTACGCCCAATACATCAGACAGTTCATCTTCGACAACCAAACATTCCAAGACCCCTCGTACTACGGCGCGAACACCACCCTCACCGAAGACTACGGCACTGCCCACATCTCCGTCCTGGCGCCCAACGGCGACGCTGTAGCCATAACGAGCACCATCAACTACGTGTAAGCGTACCAGAAATCATAGCTTTGTCCCTAGAAACAGTTTCCAACAGTCAGACGTAATGGCATTTGGTTCGAAACAAAGAATTTTGAACCCTACGTAAGAATGCACCTGACTGTTTTGGTTTGCTCTTGGAACAAAGCCTTAACTCTAACGATGATTTCCAGCTTCGGCGCGAAGTTCGCGTCCAACAGCACTGGCATCATCCTGAACAACGAAATGGACGACTTCTCGTCGCCGAATATAACCAGCGGTTATGACATTTCACCCTCTCCGGCAAATTTCATCGTCGGAGGAAAACAACCACTGTCTTCCATGTGTCCAACTATTATTCTGGACGGGAACGGGGACGTGATCATGGTTACTGGGGCTGCTGGTGGTACCAAAATCACCACTACGGTGTCCCTTGTAAGTTTTTACAATTGGGGGTTAGTGGGGTGTAGTTTCTTTCAACAGCAAAGAAATGGAAATGGATGTAACAGTTAATTTAGATCGGTAATAACAGCTCGATCTCCACAAATATTTGCAAATATGAAGAATGATTTTCAAACGACTCATCTGTATCACGAATTATACCCGTTGTGTTAGGTGTATGTTTTCAAGTGGAGCTTATTTACAAGTAATGATTAGATTACCTTACGGGTGTAGTACGTAAACATGTAGTCAGACTGTCAAGAGGCAACAATGGGCAGATGAGATGTGATCAGGGTTCCTGGCAATCACTCGTGATATGTAACAAACAAGTACTGCTGTATGTTCTTAATACGTAACTAATTATGGTTTACACTCACCGGGGGCGCCCCGCCCCGTCCTTCGCTGTCCTATTTGAAGGTCTCTAGAATAAGCATCCCGAATAAGCCCCTTGGCTAATGCCCTCGGCCTCACCATTCATTCTCGTATCACTCGGCTCAGCCCCCGGATACGGCGCCCCTGGGCCACGACTACCTCTCGGCCTTACCATTTACTCTCGTCACCAGACATTCGTTCAGTAGTAACACAATAACAACAATAACACCTGATTTATAGAGACAGATCTGCCCTAATGACGTACGTTAATTAGTAGTATATTAATAAGTAATGGCTGCGAACGTATTCACTAGACTGCTGAAATAAGACTCTCGTCTCTACCGCAGGAACCCAGAATCACACCGTCAGCTGAATCTACATAAAATAATAACGCTATGAAATACAATTCATCATTTATTGAGAACTAAGCTCAGTTATTCACTTATTTGTTTATTTAGTTCTTTTCTTTTAAAACAGTTCCTAACAGTTGTTAGAATATATGTTTCGATTTTTTCAGTTGATTATGAAACATCTCTGGTTTGGAATGGACCTGCTATCAGCGATGGACGACAAAAGACTGCACCACCAGCTGTTCCCAATGAGAATAACCTTCGAGGGACCCTACTCAACAGAAGTAAGTAATACCGAACGTTGACAATTTGTACGAACAGGTACCTGTAGAATGAGCAAACAGAACAGAACAGTTCAAATCTTAGTGAAAGCAAACATAAAGTCAAGTTAATAAATATAGTAAATATACTAACGCATATATTAATATCCAGCTTGTTTTTATAGGATCTACATATTGTCGAAGGTCTGTCCAATATAGGACATAACTACACTATTCAACTCACAGATGGTTTCGCAGCGGCTACGTCGATATCTCGAGACAGAAGTACAAATAAAGTGACTGGGGTTTCTGATAAAAGAAGACCAGGAACAGTGTCATATTTGTATTAATAAAATAACACAAATAAAATCGGTTTTGTACCATTTATTAACAAAATTTATTCCTTATTCTTTTGATACATGATAGAAGTACCGTTTGTAGATATATATTGTCTGTCTTTGATTATTAATAAACTAGAAGTGGAAGACAGATAGAACATATTAAATTTCCGTTCTACGGAATAAGATTATATATGTGGGGTCATTGGAAAAATATGAGTCTTTTTACAATGACCACATACATAATATTATTCACGTTTATTTAAATATCCTTTGTGTGTTTATGCTTTTTTTAAACCGTAAATATGAGTGACAAATGCACAATTGTACGGTGTTGATAACAATGTCCACAATCTATAGCTGGAGGAAATAAAACTGTTATCAAAAATTCTCCCCTCACTCTATCACACATATTCACTAGTCTCTTGTTAAAATTTAAATCACTTATTGTGTTTAAAATGATACGCTCCACCACAGGCATTTATTGTGTTTTGGAATACACTGTATACGTAGTGGTGAGTACTACATATTATTTGTTTTAAAATGTACGAATGTGCAGGAAATTTTAAAGTTCTAAAAATACACTGTCCAAAATCCTTGTACTAAATAAAACGGCAATTGTGTGTGCTGTGTGCTATCGCATTGATAACAACATTCATAATAGTAAATGATGATGAAAGTTGCCATAGCTGGTGACCAAAAACTCCCAAAAACTAGAAGTAAATAAGGAAGGGGGGGAAGAAAATAATAAATCTTTAAATATAAATCCTGATCTTTCGTTGTATAAACAGCCTTATTTACAAAATCAATTCTATAGTTAAAGATAAAGCTGATATAGCTTTTCATTATCTATTAGTTTTAAACAAAAAGGGCTTTTCGCAAATTCTTTTTCTTTGTTTTCAGTATATACATTTACGTGGATTAAATGATATCTTGTTGATACAAAAAATAGTCTGGGATTTGTATCTCCCTAGATTTGAAAAAGTGCGGAATATTTTTCTATCTTACAGACCCCGAAACACGGAATAGGTAGCTTTATTTATTAAGTTCTACCAAACAACTCTTAAATATGTATTTCCTTAAAATTGCTACCATAATTATAAGAAGAAATTGTATAAAATTTGACACCATGTATACTCAAAACCATACCTTAATTATCTTCGAACCGAGCTCAATAATATTCTAATATCGTGCATGTAGTAATCGCAAGAATGTTAGAGAATACTTGTGACTAAAATATTCATAAATTAATATCATTAAGGTTATTTCAAAGTGTTTATCTTGAGTATGTAAAACGTTTAAAGTAGACCAAAAACTAGACTGAAACATATTATGTTGCCAAAGTTGCAAAATACAGAATGAAGTCTTGAAGAAACCTTCAGATTATGCATTACATCTGGTGTGCTTGTAGATGGGAAGGGTAAGCAAAATTGTATTATTTAGGGGGAACTAGACACAATAACATGCCAAAAATAACCGTAAACAAGAAACATTTATTATATTTATAAGCTTTATCAAGCTATTTTACGGTATAACAAAAAGAACACGTACAATATAGCTGAGCGAAGCTATATTGTGTGTGGTACCAATAATAGATTGGAAAAGACGAAATATTTTAATAATATTTCGACTACATTCAACTGACGACTGGTACACAGAAAGGGTTAGTAATTTTTATATAAATATTTGCTCACGTTAACGACATTGAATTTATTGTTTTTTTCGGAGATTAGATTAGAATTCGTGATAATGATAATGAATCCATCTCTCACTTTCAACACAACCGTGATGTGGAATCAGAGGCTAGCATAAGTTAAAAATATATATATCTGTCTTGGTCGAAAAGCCGAAAATAAGGGTAAGTCTTTCAAAGTTTGTTTTCCATCTAATTAATATATCTTCGCTTTCACGTATAATAAAATCATTGTTTGTAATTTCATTTGTTAAGCAGTTGTTAAAGAATAGTTCAAGAAATGGTAGAGATTAATATTTTATTTGATTCTTTACGATTTGTTGTGAAGTCTCAAAATGTACACAATGTGGCACTAAATCTTACGCTTACGAGGCGTTTCAATTTTTGTATATAAAAAAAAACGATTAGTAAGACAAAAACGTGTTTGAGGTACCGAAAAATTAGAAACATTACTTAATATTTATCAATTTTTAACAGTCTGATCAGTTATCAACTTTGATTTTAGATTGTGATTTCTAAATTTAAATGATAAGCGAAGTAAGCTATGTGTGAATATACTTAACACGCAAATGCTTGTAGAAATGCCAACCAATTTAAAATTTCACACATCAGTCACTCCTTAGGTGAGATACTTTATTACAAACCACTTTATTGACCCGAAAAAAAATAGCAAAATATTTATTTTAGATAGTATCCATATTTGTCATAATTAGAATCGTTATTGGTATCGACCCCTGACAATTATTTTCCAGATCACCAAATAAAAGAGATGAAGATAACAAGGGCAGTTCTATAATGGTAAGTCTTCCATAATTTGTATATTTCTGTTCTTTTGTTTCTCCGAACTCATAATATCTTGATCCTAAACAAATTCAATAGTAACGTGTAGGCATACACAACTCTTATGATACACGAAGATAATTTCAAGTTTAAATAAAGATAAGGAATTTTGAATCAGGAATTTCATATAAATAGATTCAGTGATAACAGCTAAAAACTCAATAATTTAAAAAATCTCTCTAGCAAAGAACAGCTCGAGACGAAAATAGCTATATTTCTATTGACAGGTATTTTATAGACAAGAAATTGAACTTTCAATAATACAATAGAGCAAGAAAATCCATCTAAACTATAGAAATGTTGAAATACAACGATTCCTTTATTTTTTTCGCAGTAACAGATCACCGAAAATATGGGTAGATATACAGGGTGTCCCACTTAACTTTCCCACCCTCTTATCTCGGTTAGTTTTGCAGATATAAAAATTTTGTTGAAATAAAAGTTGTAGTGTTTTTTATGAAGTTTCTGTTTATAGCAACAAAAAAAACAATTCAAATTTAAATGTCGATGTGACGGATACAACTTATTATTTTTTTTTAATAATAACACTAAATTATTACATTTTCAGATGTAAAATTTTTTTCTGAGCAAAAGTATACAGCGTGGTAAAAAAGTTCTGCTTAAATTCATATTTTCGTTAAACAATTTTTTTTTTCGAAAAACGGTGAGACCCGTCGATTTTTATTTGATCCAGGGCACCTTGTTATGTGGAAAATTTTTTTTTTCGATAATTCACTTACGGCAGCGATGACATAATTTTTTTTTAATGACAACGCATTTTTTTTCGTTCGAAATTGATGACAGTGATAATTATCTAAACAACGGTGTGAAAATTTCGATGTCTTACATAACAATTTTTCACACCGTTGTTTA